AGAAACATTTTCCCCTCTGTTACCTTATTTTGGAAAAATTTTTATCCAAAGTGACAGTTTATTTTAAAAGGAAATTTTTGGACAGAGCCTCTAAATCTATGAAAAGTCCAGGGCTCATCCCTTTCTTTTCTGTGTTAGCAGCAGACGTTTATGTTAAGGGGCAAGATGGAGCGTCTGTCCTTCGGTCATTGAAGAGTTCAACAAGGACTCTTATGACACCCACACTATATGGAACCTAAAAGGCTTCTTCAGAGGTTCTGTACCTGGATTTCCTAGGGTTAGTACCAGTTGGACCAGAGGTTCTTGTGTTTTCCAAAGACCATTTTGGTCATAACTGGTATGAAGGAAGTTTAGACTTGTGGCCAACCGCTTCTTGTGTGTGCGGTCTCTTAACCTTTTTTTTTCTTCCCAGGAACATTGTAGGGGTAGAGATCATCATAGATCATTGATTGACCTGTGAACTGGAAAACAAAGCCTTCCTGAAAACCAACGATGAGGAAAAAAAAAAAATGGCTGAAGCAGTCTTCACCTGATTGCATGAAAGCCGCTTGCCCAAACAATAGTCAACTAGAGGAAAGAACTGTATGGTATGCATGTTTTTGTATATTCTAATCTCTCTTAACCCTTAAATGGTCCAAACGTATATATACGTTTTTTCAACATCTGAAAGTATGTAAAAAAAAATGTAGATCTTCTTTTTTGTTTTACATTTGAAAATGTGTAAAAAGCTTTTATCTACTTTTTTTTTTGTTATATTTGAAAAATTGTAAAAAAAAAAAAAGTAGATCTACTTTTGTAGCACTACGAATTTGAACGTCGATCTGTTTGGACCGTTTAAGGGTTAAGCCATACAAATGTGTCCCATTGAAGCATCTAACTTCCGGAATAATGGACCTTACTGCTTAACTATTTTGTTAAAACCAACGATTACACTGGGTATTAAAGTGTATGTAGGTGTCTGGGAGATGATGGTTCTCTTGAAACATGCTGTGTTTTGGCATCATTGCATTAAATTGTAGATGTAGCTCTGAGGCCATTGCAATAACACAAACTTCTCTTATGCTGACCTTACCATGTAGGATTTTATCTAATGCTAAACATTTTTTTTTACAAGGAATTCTGGCCAGGGCCTTGTAAATCATATGAAATGTCCATGATCATGCCTTCTTTTTCCAGGGTCACAGCAGACGTTTCTGTTTCCATGCCTTTTGGTTTGTAAAGTAGGTCTCTTTAAAGTTACCGAGTATGTAGTATTGTAGATTTCTGTCTTTATAATATTTATCAATGAGGCTCTCGTACGATTTTAAAGCTTACCTGGTTGTTATAACTGAAGTTAGTTTGTAATACGTGGGATGAACCTGCGTCCCATTTGAATATCTCTTGGAGAGATTTAGGACATTTCAAGTAAATATAAATGACTAGAAGTCATCTGTTGGCCATTTTAGTATAACTTTGTTGGGTCATGACATAGGTAGTGGCAAGAAATTTTGCCAAAGTTTTTGTTATTGAAAATTATCCATTTGCTCTTGATAAAAAGTTGCTACAAAGATTGTGGATTTGAAGAGGCTTTTAAGTATGTTAAATACCTCTTATAGAAATAATTCGTTTCTTTGATTTTTGAAAGGCATTTGTTTCTGTCTTACAGTTGATGAATGTGATTGTGAAGTAAGGGAAGCCATAGCCAAGAAGAGAGGTAGCCAGAAGCAGTGAGCCGAAATCACAGGGAGTGAGTGCACACCTGAGGCAGCAAGTGGAAACTAGAATAGGAAGCCTGTGGAAAACTACCTGGCATGTATTATTGTTTAATTGTCAAAGTGAGGCAGATTCATGTCTTAAAAATATTTATGAAAGGTTACCTGACTGTTATAATTGTAGTTGTTCATACATGGGATGAAAATGTGTCCTTTGTTTCAATATGTCTTGGATAGGTTTAGGACATTTAAAATAAATGCAAATGACTTCAAGTCATATGTTGGCCATTTGAATACCACTTTGTTGGATCTGGAAGGTAGTGGGAAAGTGCCATGTAAAAATTTCCAAAGTTTTTTTTTTAAAAAAATAAACAAATCTGCCTGTGTGTGTCCCCCCTCCCCCTTCCCCCTTTAGTGTCCCACCCCCCCCTTTTGCCTGTGGGGGTTTCCCCCAAAACCCCCCCCCTCCTGTGTGGGGTCCCTCCCCCCCATCTGCCTGTTTTGGGTCCTTTCCCCTCTCGCCCTGTGTTGCCTCTCTCCCCCCCCCCCTTTCCCGCCTATGTTTTTGTCCCCCCCCCTTTTCCCCCACCTCTGACTTGGGGTTTGTCCCTTCCCCACCCCCCCCACTCGCCTTTGTGTCTCCCACCCCCCCCCCTTCTGCCTGTATGGTCCCCCCTTTACCCTTTTCCATTTTTTGTGTCCCTCCTCCCTCTCGCCTATGTGTCCCTCCCCCCCCCCCTGCCTTGTATGTGCCCCACCTTCCCCCCTATTTTGCCTGTGCTGTGGGGCTTTCCCCCTTCCCCCCCCTCTGCCCCCCGTGTGTGTGTGGGGTGTGTGTCCTCCATCCCCCTCTCCTACCTGTGTGTGTGCCCCTCAACTCCCCCCCTCCCATGTGTGTGGCCTTCCCTCCTCCCTCCTGCCTGTTTTGTGTCCCCCCCCAACTCCCCCCCCCCTGCCTGTGGGGGTTTCCCCCTCCCCCTCCCACATGTGTGAAGTCCCCCTCTCCCTCCCCCAATTTTTTTTTTTAGTTATTTTTTTCATTAAATTTTTTTTTATTTTTCCCGTTAATTTTTTTTATTTTTAGTTATTTTTTTTTGTTTTTATTAATTTTTGTGATTTTCCCCGTTATTTTTCAGTTTTTTTTAGTTATTTTTTTTTAATTTTTTAGTTATTTTTTTATTTTTTTTTGTTATTTATTATTTTTAGTTATACTAATTTTTTTTTACTTATTACCTTATTACTTTTTTTTAGTTATTGTTATTTATTACTTATTTTTTTTTATTTTTTTAGTTAAATTTTTTACTTGTTTTTAGTTTTTTTTTTATTTATTTTTAGTTTTTTTTTTTAGTTTTTTGTTTTATTTTTTTTTTCAAAATTTTTATAATTTGTTTTTTTTTTTTTAATTATTTTAGCTATTAGTTTATTGGCAGTGAGTGAATGTAATTGTGAACCACCGGGTGGTTATCATTTTTTTATTTTGTCGGGTGATCAGGGAATAAGATTTTTTTTGGTAGTTTGAAAGTGATGAATTGTCCAGTTCTCGAGTTTCAGGTAGGTGTTCCCAGTTTTTAAGTCCTCAAAATACATGAATTTTTGAAAAGTTTAGCGAACAGGGGAATGCAAGAGATGTTTTGTCTGGGGTTATCCGTGGACCTGTCACAACTATCAAAAACTTTTAGTAATAAGTTTGCACGTATAAGTGTGGATTTTCGGCCCCAGGCAGACTCAGGGAACCTCCGTGTTCTCAAGAACTGCAAGAACCCCCCTATCACGAGTTTTTACCTCCTAGGGAAGGGGGAGCATGGACAGGGGGGTCGTCCCACAGTTACTAAAAGCAACGGAAAACCCCCTCCACAAAGGGGGCAGAAACACACAAAGAACTACAGACCGATAGCACTAACATCCCATATCAAAAAATCTTTAAAAGGGGTCCTAAGAACAAGATCACCACCCATCTAGAAACCCATCATTTTTACACAACCCGGGGAAACATGGTTTAAAAAGGGTCGCCCGTCTGTCTCAACTTTTGGACACTACGAAAAGGTCCTAGATCACGAAGACAAAAGAATCAAGTAATAATACAACTTGGCAAAAGCCTTGACAAGTGGACCATGCTAATAGCGCACAAAATGCTTTTTAAAGGAATACCAGGAAAAGTGGGTCAGGAACTATAATTTCCCTCACTAACAAACACAGAAGTATCTAAACAAAGTAAAGTCCGGGGCATCTAGGGTGAAAAGCTCTTTTCCCACAAGGCCAGTACTCGCTCCCATCTTGTTCCTCACCTCATATCTGACTGATAAGGTGTCAGCCACACACCGGTCTTTCCTTTTCAGATGACACCCAATCTGCATGCAGTGTTTCCATTGCAGACACTGCAAAACTCCAGGCAACATCAAAACAAATCTTTTAGTGGGCTGCAGAAAACAATAAAGTTTAACATGAGAAATTTCAATTACTCAATAGGTAAACACGAGGAAATTTAAAACTTCATCAGGTAAAAACAAATTCTGGCCCCAAAAAAGACAAACACCAAAAATCAAAGACCTGGATGATCATGTCGGGATCTCCCTTCAAGGACCATAACATTTTATCAATCGCACTGCTAGAAAAATGACAGGGGGTAAGAGAACCTTCAAAACTAGGGAGCCAAGTCCATGATGACACTCTTCAGGTCACTTGTTCTATCTAGGCTGGAATATTGCAAAACACTAACAGCACCTTTCAAGGCAGGTAAAATTTGCTGACCTAGAAAATGTGCAGAGAACCTTCACGGCGCGCATAACGGAGATAAAACACCTCAATTACTGGGAGCGCTTGAGGTTCCTAAACCTGTATTCCCTGGAATGCAGGGGGGAGAGATACATGATTATATACACCTGGAAAATCCTAGAGGGACTAGTACCGAACTTGCACACGAAAATCACTCACTACGAAAGCAAAAGACTTGGCAGACGATGCAACATCCCCCCAATGAAAAACAGGGGTGTCACCTAGCACGTTAAGAGACCATACAATAAGTTGTCAGGGCCCGAGACTGTTCAACTGCCTCCCAGCATACATAAGGGGGATTACCAACAGACCCCTGGCAGTCTTCAAGCTGGCACTGGACAAGCACCTAAAGTCGGTTCCTGACCAGCCGGGCTGTAGCTCGTACGTTGGTTTGCGTGCAGCCAGCAGTAACAGCCTGGTTGATCAGGCTCTGATCCACCAGGAGGCCTGGTCACAGACCGGGCCGCAGGGGCGTTGACCCCCGGAACTCTCTCCAGGCAAACTCCAGGAAGGACCCCGACCAGTTTTTCCTGTTCAAAGGATGGCCAGATCCCAAGATTGGCCTGACAAGGAATTCAAATTCAAAGTTTATTCTCTATAAGGATTACAATGCTGAGTTTACAGAATTTGGTTATTGTATTGTTTACATGTAGTAAAATAATAAATACAGAGTGTACCACTAGAACACCTAGCATGGCTAGGCATTTCGGCAGACTTAAATTAAATCTTAAGTTTAAAATATTACAAAATTATGAGGTAAGTTGGGATTATGGCTAAGTGACTAAATACTAGTTTGTGAGTTTAGCAATGTGAATGCTTTTGTTTTGGCACTATACATAGTTTCAGTATTGGAGTATCACAGGCCAACTTATGACTAGTTTTAAAATTCATTATTTTGAGATTGAGATTGATATTTCTGTTTATGGTCAAATGGGTGAGTGAGTGTAAGTGTTAACCACCAGGTGGTATTCGTGTAATTAGTTGACAGGGTGTATCAGGGAGATAAGATGTTTTCTGATGGTAGTTTTGAAGGTGATGAATGTGTCTGCAGTTTTAGAGTTTTCAGGTTGGGTGTTCCAGATTTTAGGGCCTTTGACATACATTGAATTTTTTTAAAGGGTTTTATCGGACAGGGGAAGTCATAAAGATTTTGTGTCTGGTATTGTGCCTGTGGGTCTGTCGCAACATCAAAAAGCTTTTTATAAAGGGAATATTGGAATTTAAGTCCTGTAGATGTAGATGCACAGTAGTAAGTGGGTGTACTAAACGGGGATTTAATTTAAATCTATGAAGGGGGGGGGTTTTGTTGCCGGGGATGGGATTTAGTGTTTTTTCCGGGGCTTTTTTTGGGTTTTTTTTGGCTTTAGGTGTGTTGCGCAGTTAAACCCCCAAAGACAATAGCATAGGAGGATGGATATATAAGTAAAAATTAAGTGGGAAAGGGCAGTTTGCGGACGTAGTAAATAATTCTTGGAGGGGATCCCAACCGTTTTGGATACTTTTTGGGTGTTTTTATATGGGTGCTGAAGTTCAGCACCCATACCCAAAGGGTATCCTATCGGGGTAAGACCTAGGAATTTGCCCCATTATGCCGGCAATAGGTGTGTCGATTTTAAATGTTAATTTGCGCATCTCCTGCTCTGCTAAAAAACATAATTATAGGTTTTGCATGTTAAGCGTAAGTTTATTGGAAATATTTTGATCAGCTCCTCATTAAAAATGGTTTTTGAGGGGTCAAATTAGGGTGAGAGATGACAAAAGTCGTGTCGTCACAAAGAGAAGGGGGTTCAGTGTTGAATACGTTTGGAAAAACATTGATGTATATGAAAGAGCGGGGGCCCAAAGGGCACTTCCCGCGAACTCCAGTATCAAGGGGGCTGTGTTTTTTGATGCGGGTTTCTTTAATGGTGCATACTGATACCTATTAGTAAGGAAGTTTTAAAAATTTCAACGCAGGGCCCCTTTTAAACCATAATGGTCAATTTTTGTGGAGTAGGATGCCGGTCTACTTTCAAAATTTTTTCTTGGGTCAATAAAAATTCCTATGGATATTCCTTTTTTTCCAATGCGTGTAAAGCAATCTACTTTTTTAGATTGAAAATCGTTAGTGCCTTTTTTTTTTTCCCTGAATCCAAATTGGGCGGGGGGTTAGTATTTTTTTGTGCTTTTATAAATGAATAAGTCTCCTGTCATGAGTTTCTAAAGATTTTGATAGCAATGGAATTTTGATATTGGCCTATAGTTTTTAAATCTGTAGGGTTTTAGCACCTTTATGTATTGCTGTAACCCTTCCCGCTTGAGTAGTTTCGGAAGGGTGCTAGTTTCTAGTGACTTTTAAAAAAGTAAGAATAGATGCGAGAGGACAGGGGCCGCTCCTTGTACAAAAGGGGACATGAGACAGATTCCCTGAGTTATTTAAGTGATTTTTATAACTCGGGACTTCCATGGGCCATTTGGAGCAAGATAAAAGGGAAATTTTTGGGAAAAAATTC